CATGCCTGTAATCCCAGCACTTTGGGAGGCCAAGGCAGGCAGATCACTTGAGGTCAAGAGTTAGAGACCAGGCTGGCCAGCATGGTGAAACTCCATCTCTACTAAAAATACAAAAATTAACCAGGCATGGTTGTGGGTGCTTGTAGTCTCAGCTATTTGAGAGGCTGAGGCAGGAGAATTGCCTGAACCCAGGAGGGGAAGGCTGCAGTGAGCTGAGATCGAGACAGTGCACTCCAGCCTGAGCAAAAGAATCTCACGTCTGTATCAAAGAAAAAAAAATTATGCTGTCTAAAATAAACACACTATGTGACATTGATAGAATGAAAGTAAAACAATGGAAAATATATGCCTTGAATATATTTATTTTAAAAAGCAAGAGTGACTAACAATTGGATAAGAAGAAGAAAGGAAAGGTATCCAAATGGGAAAGGAAAAAGTAAGGGTATCTTTCTTCTAAGACTACACGATCTTGTATATGGAGAACATTAAAAATGCACACAAAAACTCTTTTAGAATGAATCAACAAATTCAGTGAAGTCGCAGAACATAAAATCAGCTTGAAAAAATTAGGTGCATTTCTCTATGTGAATAATATACAATAAGGAAAAGAAATTAAGGAAACAATTCCATTTTATAAAAGCGTGAAAAAAATACTTAGAAATAAACTTCACCAAGGAGGCAAAATACTTGTACACTGAAAACTGCAAAATATTGACCCCCAAAATTAAGGAAGACACAAATAAATGGAAAGACATTCATATTCATGAGTTGAATAATTAATGTTGTTAAGATGGCAATGCCAGCAAAAGAGATCTACAAATTTAGTGTAATTCCTATCAAATTTTCCAATGATTTTTTAAATACCAAATTTATTCTAAAATTTATATGGAATCTAAAGGGATTCTTAATAGTCAAACCAATTTTGAGAAAAACAGAGCTGGAGATGTCACACTTCCTCATGTTAAAACTTATTACAGAGCTATAGTAATTTAACAGTGTGGTATTGGCATAGAGGCAGTCTCATAGACCAGTGAAATGGAATAGAAAGGCCAGAAATAAACTTTCATATATACAGTCAAGTTATTTTTGACAAGGGTGCTAAGACCACTTAGTGGGGATAGACAGTCTTTTCAATAAATGACGTTGAGAAAGTTGGATATTCACATGCAGAAGAATGAAATTGGACCCTTACTATATACAAAAATCAACTGAAAATTGATGAAGATTTAAATGTGTGTGCTAAAACTTTAAACCCCTTCGAACAAAAGATAGAAGAAAAGCTTCCTGTTATTAGATATGAATTTTTTTTTGCTATTCCACAAAAATAATGGACAACAAAAAAATAGATACATTTGAGTGTATGACAGTTGAGAATCTTAAGTGCATCAAGGAACACAATCAACAGAGTGAAAGACAACCTGCTGTATAGGGGAAAAATTTGCAAAGCATGTAACTGATGAGTGGTTAATATCCAGAATATGAAAAGAGCTACAACTTAACGATGAAATACAACCTAACTTAAAAACAGGCAAAGGAATTAAATAGACATTTCTGGAAAGAAAATATACAAACAACCAATAAACACATTAAAGGATTCTGAACAGTACGAATTATTAAGTAAATACAAATAAAAATCACAATGAGATACCATTTTACAACCATTAGGATGGTTACTATCAAAGTAACAGAAAATAAAAAGTGCTGGTGAAGAAGTAGAAAAAGGGGAACCTTTGTGCATTGTTGGTAGTAATGTAAAATGGTGTGGCAACTATGAAAAATGGTATAGTAGTTCCTCAAAATGTAAAAACAGAATTCCCACATGAGCCAGCAATTCCTCTTCTGGGTATATACTCAACATAATTAAAAGCAGAGTCTTGAAGATACATCAGTACACCCATGTTCATAACAACCTTACTCACAATAAGCAAAAAATAGAAGCATACAAGGGTTCATCAATGGATAGACAAATTGAAGTATATACATACAATAAAATATTATTCAGCCTTTTCAAAGAATAAAATTCTGGCATTATATATAAATTAACCTTGAGAGCATTATGATAGATAAAATAAGCCAGTCACCAAAAGACAAATACTGTAAAATTATAATTATGTGAAGTAGTTAGAATAGTTAAATTCAAAGAGACAAAAAGTAGAATGGTGGTTGTCAGGGTCTAGAAGAGGAGGAATTGAGGAGTTGTGTAATGGGAATAGAGTTTCAGTTTTGCAATACGACAACAGTTCTTGGATTCGTTGTGTGAATATACTTAACACAACTGTACAATATTATACAATAAAAACTGGTTCAGATAGAAATTTCATGTTAGGTGTATTTTACCACGATTAAAAATAAAAAGTAGGAATAGTTATATTAATATGGCATAAAGTAAATATCACAGCAAAGACAATTAATAAAGGCAAAGAAGGACTTTACATGATTATACCAGTATCAATCCACCACAAATATATACCTATACTGAATGCGTAGCAACCAAACAATAGAGCTTTCAAATACATGAAGCAAAAACTAACAGAGATGAATGAAGAAATAGACTTATTTACAATTACAGTTGGATTTAAACACTCAGCAACTGACAGAACTTGTAGTAGACATAATATCCTCAAGAATAGAATAACTGAACAATGCAACAATCAACAGTATCTAATTGACACATATAGAACAGTTCCTTGAACAACAGCAGAATATGTATTTGTTTCCTGTGTCCACAGAACATGTACCAAGATAGACCAGGTGATGGACTATAAAACAAACCTTACCAAATTTAAAATAATTGAAATTGTTGATAAATAATTAAAATAACTGAAATGTGTTGTGTAGACAACACATTCTATGACCAAAATGGAATCAAAGTAGCAACTATAATGAAATACAAAAAACTAAACAATTGGAAATTAAATTATGCATTTCTAAATAATTTATAATAATTAATGGGTGAAGAAGTAGTCTCAAGGGAAATAAATATGTGAACTACATAAAAATGAAAATATACATGTTAAAACAGGTGGAATACAGCTAAAGTTATATTGAGAGAGAAATTTATGCCATTAAATGCTAACATTAGAAACAAGGAAATGTCTCAAATTAGAGATCTAATTTCTTACCTAAAGAATATAGAAAAGGAAGAGAATAATAAAGCTGAAGCAAACGGAAGGAAGTAAATCATAAAGATAAAAACAAAAATCAATGAAATGAAAAGCAGGAATAAAATAGGAAAATCAATTAAACCAAAAGCTATTTCTTTAAAACCGTCAACAAAATTGGTAAAACTTTAGCACAACTGACAGCTTAAAAAAAAGAAGACAACAAATAAACAATATCAGGGATGAAACAGGAAATAGCATTACAGATTCTGCAGGTATTAAATAGATAATAAGAGAATACTGTGAACAACTGTATTCTCATAAATACAAAAATATAGAAAAAATTGATCAATTCCTTAAAAAAACACAAACTGCCAAAAATAAATTTAATAACATTATATAGGTGACATAATTTGTCCTATAACCAACAAAGAGAATTGATTTGTAATTTAATAAGTCTCTTATCTGTCACCATGTGAGACATGCCTTTCAACTTGCGTCATAATTGTGAGGCACCCAGCCACGAGGAACTGTGAGCTTATTAAACCGCTTTATTTTCTAAATTTCCCAGTCTCGGGTATGTCTTATGAGCAGCATGAAAATGGACTAATACAGTAAATTGGTACCAGAGGCACCCTGATTTTTCGGTTCCAACCTTTAGAGCTGTGATAAATAAATGTTTATTGTTTAAGCTACCCAGTCTATAGGATTCTTTTATAGCAGTCTGAAATGACTAAGACAATTATGTATGTCTATTACCTAGAAATTCTATTCCTGAACATACACCTTAAAGAAACATAGGCAGAATTCCACAAAGGGTCATGAGCTACTAACAAGGCTCATAGCGGCACCATTAGTAGCAGTAAGGAACGGCGTCAACATAGGTTACACTCAAAGGGGGAAGAAAATGAACAAGCACGATGCAACATTAAAAGCAATGAAGAAGAGATGCATATAGCAGCTTAAGTACAATGCTACACTTTCACACATGCACATGTTTAACAAAGCCATATGTTTAACAAGAATAAAAACATGAAAGAAAATCATTCAAACACATCAGGTGTGTCACATGTAGGTGCCTTTTGGTGGGAAAGAAATTAGTAAGAGAAACTAGGAAGACAGAAAGAAAAATCCAATAAAATAGCGAAATAACCTTTCAAAAATCAATAATGATAATGTGGTCAGAGTCCAAGAATAGGATAAAAGTAAAGATAAAAGCAACCTTCATAAATAGACAGTTAATTCTAATCCCTTTCTATCAATTGCAGGGCTAGCAGAAATTAATGAAAATAAGCTGCCTTTAATGCCAAATGTGATAGGTAGAAAGATATTTTTTTCGTGGGAACTGTCTTTTGTTTGTAGAATTACTCACTTCTCCACCGACATTGAAATATAGCCATTTTTTTTTAGAGGGATTTTTGGTAAAATATCAAAAATAACAGCTAATGACTTAGGGAGGGAGACTGCAGAATAAACCAATGAGTAGGTGTGGCCTTGGGGAGTAGATGAAAGGAAACTGCTATGTGGGCCACCACAATTGAACATGGGTATATGAGGAGGGATGGTAGTTCATGTTGGGAAGGCATAGAAGAGGCTGTTACAGAAAAGCCTCTTTTCTACCACCAGGGCTATCCTTGCCTTTATATCACCTCCCCAAGACAGAGGTGGCAGGAGTGGTACATTCTGATGACTAAGACTCCCCAGGTACCTCCCCACCCCTCTCTCACATAGAGGTGACAAGAGTAGTGCTTTGTGATGTCTTAGTGTCCCTTAGCTCTCATTGGCTGGGAGAGTGCCTTGCTGACCAATCAAAGTTGAAGGGTGTGGCCCCTCATTGTGCTGGGAGGGGTATACATTGGATGATCAAGAGCTCTGAGTAGACCACTGGGACACTTCAGCATGGCAAAGGTGACCAGTGAACCACAGGAGCCTAATGAAGGTGTGGACAAACAGACCCCACCAATCCCAAGTACCAAAGGGAGGAAGAAGGGGAAGACTCCCTGTCAACGAAGGTCCAGATGTGGCGTTAAGGTGAGATGATCCTGCCCAAGCCCCTTCTCTTTGCCCCACTGATTCCGCCACCCCAAGACTCCTATCCTTTCCTTGCCTCACACAAACCCCCTCCTCAACTCACTCCCTTCTCATGAAGCCCAGTCCTATGCATTTCCCACCTTCTTTCCGAAAACCAATGCCCTCTGGCCTGACTGTGATCTCCCTATAGGGCCTAAAGACCACCATGAAGGCGAAAAGACCCCTTCAAGGGAGCACCAGCAAAAAAGCCTCTGAAAGTAACACCCCTACAGGAAAACCTAAGAAAGCTAGAGGAACAACACCGCGTGGTCACTATCGCCGGCTGAAAGAAAAAATGAAGAAAGAAGAGGCCGACAAAGACCAAGAGACTGTGGAGAACGCCACCGTTTCAAGTGATGACCCGAGCAGCCAATAATTTCAAAGGGAGAAGAGAGACCTCAGCTCTGTGATGTCTCTAGAGGTCTGCCACTGAAAAGTCATCAAACATACAGACAGTGAATTCTACACCAACAGGTTAAAACCATGAAAATAAAATCAACCTGAATCCAAAGGACATGTCTCTGTGAGTTCTTTGATGGTGGGGAAGGAAGGAGTGACGGGAAGAGGGAGGTGTGTGTGAGAAGGCAGGGAGGTGGCTTCTGTGGGGTTTGAGGCCAGACCAACAGGTCCACAGCTGGAAACTGGGGGATAAGGTCTGGCTCAGGACTAGGCACTGAAGATAAATTTCCTGAAAACTTTAATACACACACAGTAAAGGGGGTGGGTGTTTCTACCTGTGTGTGTTTTGGTGGGGAAAGAGGGGCGCAACTTCAGTGTATTGATTGTCAGAACCTGTATGGGCTGAGGTGTGTGGGTGGCAGTACTATCCCCCAAAATAGACAAATAACCTGCAGGCCATCTACCTCATAATGGTAGGTATGAGATACACCCCACCCTATGATATAAGCAACCAAATGCCTTTTAAAGGGCCAAACATCTCTAAAAGTTACCAGCAGCACCTGAAGGACTGAAATAATGGTTACTAGATGCCACAAATCCAACACTGACTAGCTCACCTTCTTAAGAAGCTTAGGGTGGAGCAGGGTAATGGGAGTGGTCTACCTCTAGTGCAGGCAGTGAATGAGAGCAGTGTCTACACAGAATTTTAAAACAAGATAGCTCTCTCTCTCCATCTTTTATTTTTATTTTTCCAAAGTTGTTTTTATCCCTAAAGAGAATATCATTTTTCAACAGCTTTACTGAAGTATAATTGACATATGACAAACTGCACATGCTGAAAAAGTATACAGTTTGATGAGTTTTGTCACATCTGCACTTGTTAAACCATCACAACTATAAGAGTGAACAAACCCATTACCCCCTGAAGTTTTCTCATGTCCTTTGGCAATTCTTCCCTGCCCTTACCTCCACCATCATTCTAAAAAAGACCCACTGATTTGTTCACTATCTGTTTCCATTTTCTAGAGGTTTATAAGAATAGAATCATAAGGTATGTACTCTTTTTTTTTTTTTTTTCTAGTCCAGCTTCTTAGAACTATCTTTCCTTCCCAAAAATACTTTGTTTTGTTGGTTTACTTTTTAAAAGATTGCTGTGGTCAATATGTTTTAATCATGTGTCTATGGGAGTGGTCTAAAAACAGCACAATTTCTCATTATATTTTAATGAAGACTTATTGTATTCTACAAGGAAATTAATGCAGATAATTTCCTGTTATACCACTGGCCTCAGATATCACCTGACTCAGTTGCTTTTTCCTTCTAAAGCAAGCTCCTAAGGATCTGGTATTTCTTGCAGTGCACTTTGAGCCATAATCCATGGTCTTGTATGACACACATACACCAGCATTTAAACAATATTTCTAAAACAATAATAGTACAGCGATTGATTTTAAAATAAAAGAATAAATAATCTGAGTTTTTCATGTGCTGTCTTTCCATGTGACCACTTGGATGATGCCTAAGTTAATGAAACAAATTATGAATGACAAGGTATAAATATTTGAGAAGTTCAAATCTTTGCTTCATTTAAACAAAAAATACTTTGTAAATTTGAACTATATCTTTAAAAGTAAAATTTATTCTTCTTTAATTGTTTAATAGTTATTTTAAAACTACAGACCAATTCAAGGAAATAAAATGTTACATATTTGAATAATTTATTAATTGACTAATTTGTCCATTTTGCATGATTTTTAGTTTTCTTAAAATACCATTTTATATTTTACTTTTACTAATACATATATGTATAATGCTCACTAGAAACACACCATATTTCTTTATTAATCCTTATTATTTCTTGTTTTAATTTATGATTATTACTGAAAATATGTTCTACTGAGGAGGGGGCATTAAAAAGCATTTCCCATTTGGTTTTAAATACACTAATTATGTCAAAGGTAGAACACTTTTTTTCTTCAAATACTTCACACTTTGGTCCTAGTGTCTGGCATCTTTTGGTTTTGTTTTAAACAGCTTTATTGAGATATAACTGACTATAATATACAATTAATTAGAGTTGACACATACACACCTGTGAAACCATCACCACAATTAAAATAAGAACATTATTCATCACCACATTGGGTGTTCTCTTTTCTTTTTTTTTTTTTTTTTTTTTTGCCACCTTGTGTTTTTTCCTCCCACTTCTTCCCAATTCCCAATCACTGATCTGCCTTCTGTCTCTACAGGTTAGTTTACAATTCTAGAGTTTCAGATTACTGGGATCAGCTTATGTACTTAATTTTATCTAGCTTCTTCCATTCAGCATAATTTTGAGTGTCATTAATGTTGTTTCATACATCAGTATTATATTTTTTATGTTAGTTTTTATTATTTTATCGAGAGTTTATCAGCACTAAAATGATACCCCAAACTAACTTGAATTTTATTTTTTCATGATAATTGTAGATTTACAGGCAACTGGGAGAAATAGAGAGATGCCTTATACCCTTCACCCAGATTCTCCTGATGGTAATGTCTGCTATAAACATAGTACAGTATCACATTAATAGATCAACATCAATAAAATCCATTTACCTCATTCAGATTTCACTAGTTTTACATGCACAAATGTATGTATAGGTATGTGTGTGTTATGTTCTATGTAATTTTATCACCTATAGGATTTTTCATAACTACCACTATCGTCAGGATACACAAAATTTACATCATGAAGAACCCTCACACTAACCACTTATAACCACAGCCACTTCTTCCCCTTCCCCATCCCTGGAACTCAGTAAATTGTTCTTCATCTTTCTAATTGTATCATTATAGGAATGTCACATAAATTGAATAATGCACTATGTAAACTTTTGAGATAGTTTTTTTTAATCAGAATAAATATCTTGAGACCCATTCAAGTTGCTGTGTGCATTATAGTTGTTTTTGTTTGTTTGTTTATTTGATTGGTAAGTAATATTCTGTGGTATAGATGTACCACAGTTTGTTAAATACTTATTTACCTGAGGCTGGAACAAAAAGATGTTTAATTAGACTTATGGTTCCGTATGACTGAGGAGGCCTCAGAATTATGGTGAGAGGTAAAAGGCACTTCTTACATGGTGGCAGCAAGAGAAAAACATGATGAAGAAGCAAAAGCGGAAACCCCTGATAAACCCATGTGATCTCATGAGACTTATTCACTACCATGAGAATAGCACAGGAAAGACCGGTCCCCATGATTCAATTACCTACCCCCGGGTCCCTGCCACAACACATGGGAAGTCCAGAAGATACAGTTCAAGTTGAGATTTGGGTGTAAACACAGCCAAACCATATCAGGTATGTCTTTATCAGCAGCATGAAAATGGACTAATACAATGAATTTTTAAAATAGAAATACTTAGGCCTATATGGTTTCATTGGAACATTCTACCAAATACTTAAAAAAGAGGTTAGTGCCAACTTACAATTTCTATCACAAAATTGAAGAGAATGGGACATTTTGCATCTCATTTAATGAGTTCAATATCACCTTGCAAGCAAAGCTACAAAGATAGCACAAGAATAAAGCAGGAAGAATCACCCTACTTCATATTAAGGCTTAATATATAGCCAGAGTAATGAAGAGAGCATAGTGTTTGCCAAGTGATGGACACATAGGTCAATGAAGCAGAATAGAGAACTAAGAAATAGACCTAAACCAATATGCCTGACTATTTTTGTCAAAAATGCAAAAGCATTTCATTGGAGGAACAATAGTATTTTTAACAAATGATCCTGGAGAAATTAGACATCCATATTCAAAAAAATGAACCTTGTCACAAATCTCATACCCTATATAAAAAGTAACTTAGAATGGATGGCAGATTGAAATGTAAAATGTAAAAGTATAAAATTGTAGAGAAAATATTTGGTCTCTAAGGCCAAGTGAAGAGTTCTTAGACTTGATACCAAAAGCACAATTCATGAAAGAAGAAATTTGATAAAGTAGATTTCATCAAAATTAACAACTTTTGATCTGTGAAAGGCCCTGTAGGGAGGATGAAAACACGTGCTGTAGACTACGAGAAAATGAGAATAACATATCTGACAGAGGTATTGTATCTAGAATATGTAAAGAACTCTCCATATTCAACAGTATAAAGGCACAGAACAATCCAATCAGAGAATTGGCTACAGGTATGATTAATGACTAGAAGATGGAGTGGACCTATACGATTTGCTTATTCCTGAGGTTGTCATATCATGGAAGAAATTGACAAAGACCAAAACTAGACTGAAAACCTCCTAAGAAGAGTACAAGAACTAGAGCAGGAGGTGCATAGACTTAAGAAGGAATAGGTCAATGACAGCCAACAACAAGGACTCAAATATCAGAGTAAATTATTCAGGAGCTGTAAAACCTGAGCATGCATTTGATTTCAGTGCTCATGACCAAAGACATTCCTAATAATAACTTATCTGGACTGGGGATACCAGGGCTTTGGGAGTCAGGAAAATATAAACAATTCCATTGAAGAGAAACTCTTTGATGTTCTAACCAAGACTGACTAGTAGGAAGGAGACAGACATTCGACTATCATTAGTGGAGGAAAATAAAGGAGTCAGTGTCTTTTGGCAAGTAAAAATCAGTATACCATTTCTTAAAGCAATCATTACCAGGATATTCTGGGTGTACATTCCATGTATTGAGATTATTTGTATCTATCTGTAATTTCACAGGTCCTTTCTTTTGACCTGATTCTCACTTTTCAAGAGGCAACAATTCAAAGGATTTTAACATAAAAAGATGAAGTAAACAATGTTACTAAAGAGATACATTATACCCATATTTTCAATCAGATGTTCACATACTGGCCTGGGCCCTTGTAGAACCTAGCTTCAGTGTTAGGTTCCGTTGTTTGAGAGGACTTACCGCTATTATTTCCCTCATGCTTATTTAAATAGTGTAGCCATTAATTATGCAGCTCAGAAGTATGTTTGCACACATGATTCCAGAAACTTGTATAAAAGGGATATGGCCGATGGAATTATTAATTTTCAGAGCATTATTCTGTCTTCTCAAGTACCACTAAT